ATTCCACTGTGTAAAGGTACCATAGTTTTTTTATCCACTCATTTGCTGATGGGCACTGAGGCTGTTTCCAAGTCTTAGCTACAGTAAATTGTGCTGCTATGAACATAAGGGTGAATATAATCTTTCTGATGTTTATTTCAGTCTTCTTAGGATATATTCCTAGAAGGGGGACCACTGGATCATTGTAAATTGTTTGAGGAAATGCTATACTATTTTCCACAGTGATTGCACCAGTCTGCATTCCTACCAGCAGTGTACTAGGGTTCCCTTTTCTCTACAACCTCACCAACATTTGTAGTTTGTTGATTTTTTGATGATAGCCATTCTGACAGGTGTGAGGTGATATTGCATTGTCGTTTTGATTCACATCTCTTGGATAATTAGTGACTTTGAGCATTTTCTCATATGTCTCTTAAGTTTCTGCATATCCACTATGGAGAAGTGTCTATTTAGATCCTTTGTCCATTTTTTAATTGGATTGTTTGTCTTCCTTTTGGTAAGTTGTATGAGTTACCTATATATTTGGAGATTAACCTCTTATCAGACATATCATTGGCAAATATGTTCTTCCATGTAGAGGGCTCTCTTGTTATTTTGATGATGGGTTTTTTTTGCAGTGCAGAAGGTTTTTATATTCATGTAGTTCCATTTGTTAATTTTTTCCTTAGTTTTTATAGTCCTAGGAAATGTATCAGTAAAGATATTGCTATGAGAGATGACTGAAATTTTGGTGCCTATGGTTTCTTCTAGTACTTTTATGTTTTCACATCTTACATTTAAGTCTTTTATTCATTTTGAGTTTATTCTTGTGTATGATGTAAATTGGTGGTATCATTTCATTTTTTTGCATATACCTGTCCAATTTTCCCAGCACCATTTATTGCAGAGACTGTCACTGCTCCAATATATTCTCTTGCCTCCTTTGTCAAATATTAATTAAACATAGTGGCTTGGGTCAATTTCTGGGTTCTCTATTTTGTTCCATTGATCTATATTCATGTTCTTGTGCAAGTAGGAGGCTGTTTTGAGTACAGTAGCTTCATAGTATAACTTGATATTTGGTATTGTGATTCCTGTAACTTTGTTCTTCTTACCCTACATCTTTTTTAAAATATATTTTATTGATTTTTTACAGAGAGGAAGGGAGAGGGATAGAGAGTTAGAAACATCGATGAGAGAGAAACATCGATCAGCTGCGTCCTGCACACCTCCTACTGGGGATGTGCCTGCAACCAAGGTACATGCCCTTTACCGGACTCGAACCTGGGACCTTTCAGTCCGCAGGCCGACACTCTATCCACTGAGCCAAACCGGTTAGGGCCCTATGTCTTTTGATTGGAGCATTTAATCCGTTTACATTTAAGGATATTATTGATAGATACTTATTTATTGCCATTTTAATTCTGTATTCCTAGGTTTCTCTCTCTATTTCTTCTTCTCATTACTGCAGCCCCTTTAGCATTTCCTATAATGCTGGCTTGGTGCTGATGTACTCCTTTAGCCTTTTTTTGTCTGGGAAGCTCTTTAGTTCACTGTTTATTTTGAATGATAGCCTTGCTGGATAGAGTAACCTTGGTTTCATATCCTTGTTTTACATTACCTTGAGTATTTCATGCTATTCCCTTCTGACATATAGAGTTTCTGATGAGAAACCATGTGTCAGTCTTACAAAGACATCTCTCATAGCAATATGTTACTGATACATCTCCTAGGACTATCTCCTACAAAGGTAACAGTTTGTATTTCTCTTGCTGCCTTTAAAATTCTCTCTTCATCTTTAATTTTTGGCCTTTTAATTATGATGTGTCTGGGCATGAGCCTGTTTGGGTTCTTCTTGCTTGGGGTCTTCTGTGCATTCTGAATTTGTGACTTTTTCCTTTACCAGGTTAGGGAAGTTTTCTGCCATTATTTCTTCAAATACGTTCTCTATTCCTTTCTTCCTCTTCTGGCACACATGCTATTCGAATTTTGTTATGTTTTACGTTATTCCACAGCTCTCTTAAGCTGTCCTCCTATTTATTAAATTTTTTTCTGTCCTCTAATTCACTGATTTGATCCTCAACTTCCCCTAATCTGCTGTGTATTCCTTCCAATGTATTCTTTATTTGTGTTATGTCATTCTTTATATATGTTTTCATAGTTACTATATCTTTTTTCATGCTGTTCAGCATCTTTACTATCATTATTCTGAACTCTATATCAGATAAATTTCCTATCTTCATTTCATTTATTTCTTTTTCTGAAGAATTCTCTTGTTCTTTCATATAGGGGTTGTTTCTTTGTCTCCTCATTTCGGCTGCCTGTTTGGGTTTGTGACTATGTATTAGGTAGATCTGCTATGCCTCTCAATTTCTAGTGCAGGACAGTGTCAAATGCTATTTCAGCCTCAAAAGACTGTCTCTGCTTACCAACTGATAGGTTTCCGTCTTGAATTGCCCTCAGGCAATCATCCACAGTTATAGAGAGAGCTTTTTGCAACAAGGTGGGGCAATTGCTTCTGTCTAGAGGTTAATTGTTATTCGCAGTCTCTTATTGGGTCTCAGAAACTCCACACAGTGAGGCAGGGTGTTTTTACAAAGGGTGTATCAACTGTCTTCCCCCAAGGCAAAACAGCCTGTATAGCCAATGTCTGGGTGAAAAAGATGACCTTACCAGTGTGAGGGATTGACTCAGCACAGGAAACTGGGTTGTTTGCCTCCTGGCTTCTGGTCACACAACTCCAGTCCACTCTGCCCTCCCTCTGCCAGAGTACAAGGTGGGTGGTTCCACAGGGAATTTTGTGCATAGGCCCTTTAAGAGGGTGCCTAAAATCCAGCCGTCTTTCTCTGGCAGACAGAAACCCTGCTGCTTCTCACAGCCAAATGTTATGTGGGTACCCTTCTCAGTTGGAGGGCCCAGCTTTGGGGTTTAGACCCCAGAGTTCTCAGTGGCAATCCCCCACAGCTGAGATATCTCTCTGCAACTTCAGTTGCTGTTGTGGGAGCCTGGCAAGCCTTTCGTGCCTCTACTTCTCCTATCAGTCTCTATGAGATCTCCACTTTCTATCCTCGAGTATCAGAGTTCTCTCCAATGACTCTTCTGTTAATTATTCAGGAAGTTTTCCTGAATTTTAGTTGTAATTCCAGTTTGGTCCTAGGAGCATGTCTGTGTAGCATCTACTTACTCTACCGCCATTTTTAATCTTCTCACTGCATTACTTCCACAGTTTCTGTGACCCACGACCATGTACAGATGCTTCTAGGCCTCCAGCCAGCATCTCATAGATGTCCCCTTTCCTCATACCATCCTTATGTGTTCACTTCCATCATGCTGACAGACTTCCAGGCCCATAAAGGAATAAATAGTTATTCATTGAAAGAATATTTTAAAATAATTTAACAACTTTTTAGTGACTTATTCATTATGACTTATCCAATAATATACTATTTATTATTTTTTATTTTTATTAAATTTATTGGGGTGACACTCGTTAACAAAATTATACAGGTTTGGGGTGCACAATTCTATAGCATATCATCTGTATACTATCCTATATAATAAAAGCCTAATATGCTAAGTGTCCAGTTACCTGGTCATCCATTCAACCAATCAAAACATAATCTAATCTAATAAAAGAGAAACAAGCAAATTGACCGCATCTCTGCTACACCCCAAGCCATGTCCAAAGCCAATCAGAGCGACCATATGCAAATTAACCCAACCAAGATGGCAGCTGGCAGCCACGGAGCTGGAGTAAGCAGGAGGCTTGGTTGCCCTGGCAATGGAGGAAGCCAAGCTTCCTGCCTGCCCTGCCTGGCTGTGGGCTCCGCTCAAGGTAACAAAGTTTCAATTATAGAAGATAAATAAATCCCAGATACCTGCTTCCATCTAGCCTCCACTGGGAGCTTGGGTGGCTGGGGGCTGTGGCCACCCTGCGAACAGCCATCAGCTCCTCACCCAGGCTGGCCACACCCTCATGGGGTGAGGGTCCCCGCTGGGGGGCTTGGCCAGCCTGCAAACAGCCATCAGCCCCTCACCCAGACTGACCAGGCACCCCAGTAGGACCCTCCACCCTGAAGGGGCTGTGACCAGCCTCCAAACAGCCATCAGCCCCTCACCCAGGCTGGCCAGGCACCCCAGCAAGACCCCTCCCTGAAGGGGTGTGGCCAGCCTGAAAACGGTCCTCAGCCCCTCACCCAGGCTGGCCAGGCACTCCAGCGAAGACCCCCACCCTGAAGGGGGTGTGGCCAGTCTGAAAATGGTCCTCAGCCCCTCACCCAGGCTGGCCAGGCACCCCAGCAGGACCCCCACCCTGATCCGGTACACCCTTCAGGGTAAACCAGCCAGCCCCCACCCATACACCAGGCCTCTATCCTATATAATAAAAGGGTAATATGCAAATTGACCCTAACAGCAGAATGACTGGTAACTATGACACACACTGACCACTAGGGGACAGACACTTAATGCAGGAGCGGGCCTAAGCCAGCAGGTAGTCATCCCCTGAGGGGTCCCAGACTGCAAGAGGGCACAGGCCCCCCTGAGTGCCCAAATTTTTGTGCACTGGGCCTCTAGTATGCTAATAATATGCTAAGGCTGCTCAACCACTCGCTATGACATGCACTGACCACCAGGGGGCAGATGCTCCAACCAGCAGGTTAACTTGCTGCTGGGGTCCGGCCAATTGGGACTGAGTGAGACAGGCTGGATAAGCCCTGGAGCCCTCCCATGGTCCCTTCCCGGCTGGGCAACCTCCTGTGTCCTTCCCCGGCCCCAATCATGCTGGCAAATCGCAACCCATGCCTGTCCTGGCCCTCTCAAGTCTCGGCAACTTGAGGGATGTAGGAGAGCCAGTTTCAGCCTCTTTTCAAATACAGACCAAGGACACCACTGGTGCACGAATTCATGCACCAGGCCTCTAGTACTACACATAACACACAATACAATATTTATTAATTTATAAGAGAGTAGTTATTAAAGTTTCACCATTGTCTAAAATGAAGACATTTAGGTAGACTTTGTAGTAGCTCTCAGTAAAGAATATTTATTCTGAAATCCATACAGTTAAATTCAACCATAGCGATAAGGCATTCTCTTAAATTATCCTGTATGTTTGACTCAGCCCCAAAGATGGAGAGATTATTTATGGCTACTCAGCCCTGGAGTGGCAGAAAAGAAGCTGGGAGGTGGGTACAGATGGAATTTAAATCTGGAACATTGTAAGACTGAAGATTAGAAAGAGTTATTTTAAGGGCATGGCGTATGGTGTCCACATGGAAATCGCATTGGCGATTTTGTTAAGGACTGCTTTCTTGCATCCTGACTACAGAGTAAAGCACACAATTGGATCAAAGAGATCAAAGAAATATCCTAAACGTTCTCTTTCTTTCAGCCAACCTCACTACTGACCAGGCATGCTCATTTATTTATAAGGCAGTTTATCAGAGAACAAAGGGGAAAAACTGACTGGTTTTTGTTGTGACTTAAACTATTGGACTAAAAGTCAACTATAAAGCAACAGCTCATACTGATGTCTTTTAAGTCACTTTTAAGTGGTAAGAATAAACTTGCTTTTCAAAGACTTCAAATGTAAACAGACAGAAAAAAATAAATGAATGTGACCCCTTTTTTCAGATTAGGGTTTTCCCTCCTTTAAGAATGATTTTTTTCAACAGTCTCTTGCTTGGAAACAGTCAGGCTGAACACTATTGCAGAATTTCTTCTTGGTCTTGATGAGGACAGGTGGCAAATAGATGAAGGATGAGTTCCTGTGGCCACAACTCTTCTTTTTCCAGTATCTCAGATATGTAACTCCAGGTACATTCATCCACAGATAGAAATGCTGTTCAAAGAAAGGACAAATTCTCAAAACTTGGCAACACATGTGAACATATATTTTGTTCAGCTCAAGGCCTGGTACAAGCTAACTTCTTAGTGTCAAAAAATAAAATGGTACAAGACAAGTATTGAGGATCACATCACATATATATATTTTAAAGCATCAAGTTTTCAGAAACTTGCCAAGAAGAAACAAATATCATACACACAGAAAAATAAATCTTGCCAAAAATTTTAACCAAGTTAAAAGATCTGCAGACCCATAGAATCTTTTTCCAATAGCACTATATATAACCTGAGTTGCCAACTCAAAAGCTAAACTCATCTGATGGGTAATTTTCTAATATGTAACTTAAGAGTATTTTAAAAAGAAACACAAAGTAGATATGAACATTACTTTGCATGTTTGTCAAAGCTCAGATTTAGAATTTGTATTAAAATCATACATGAAAGCCCTCGCTGGTTTGGCTCAGTGGATAGAGCATCGGCCTATGAACTGAAGGATCCCAGGTTTGATTCCAGTCAAGGGCACATGCCCTGGTTGCAGGCTTGATCCCCAGTGGGGGGAGTGCAGGAGGCAGCTGATTAGCGATTCTCTTCATTGATGTTTTTATCTTTCTCTCATTCTCCCTTTCTCTTTGAAATCAATAAAGATATATTTTTAAAAATCATACATGAAGGCTAAATAAAAAATTGTAAATCACTCTTGTTCTCCATAGAACAAAAATATTAAAACAGTGCTAGTGTAGTAAAAACAGTTATGGAGAAAAACATTCTGGAAATTTCAAGTGGGATCCAAACTACTAACCTGTCTTATTAAAGGGTTTCTTCATGCAAAGATATTACATGAAGAAGTTTTTTGTGAGGGACCCAATTACCTAGATATGTTTTGACAGCCTGAACAGCTTGTCAGAACAACAAAATCATTGCTAAAGCTCTAGAGAGCTTAGCAATTCCCACATAATTGCCAAGATTCATCTAAATTTTAGAGATGGTAACAGCATACTTATAATTCAGAACTTAGTTTTGTGATTTCAGTTAAGACTGAACAAATTTCTTTTCAAAATTGATTTTGAACTTGAGAAAAGTGTGCATTTTGGCAGCCCATGTGTTAGAGAATATGTTTTGAGGACCATGGAGCAATTTCCAAGACTGGAGAGCAGACCTTCTTGAGATGCTATGCATCAGCATTGTCTTAGCCGACCTGACCCAGTAGGTCCCAGGTGGACAGGATATTGGCCACAAAGAGCCAAAGCATTATGAATACTTATCAAGACAAAAACACAAACACATAATACTATACATACTAACTGAGGCAAGAGAAAAGACAGAAAAGATGGGAATAAACAAGAAATGTGAAAAAGTTTCCATTTTACAACTAGTTCCAGAAATTTAAAAGAAGTTTCCAAAAAGTCTACAGAGAAGCTGTGGTGACTGAGGAAATGCTGGGAGTTGGAAGCTGTAACTAGCCATTTATTTACACAAATGGAACCTCTGGCTGTCCTTTCATATTCTGAAGATCCAGCCAGAATCAGGAATCTTTATGAAAATCATATGTTAGAGAAACATAAAATAAATAGGTTGACTTTGTAATATCCTAATATATAAAAAGCCAGGGGCCATCATGACCTAAATGACTGGACAACAACCGAACACCAGGCTACCGGCGGGAGGGAGCTCCCTCCCAGCCCCAGCCTGGGTGTGGTGGTGGCTGGAGAAAGCTCTGGGCCCTGGCTTGGGCATGGCGGAAATCTGGGTCTCATGCGATCAGGGGGCATTGCCGGCCTTCAAACCAGACCCTGACAGGAGGGAGGAGGGAGCCCCATTCCTTGAAGAATCAGCCATTGGACAGCTTGCTGTCAGCAGCCTGCCAACCAGGAATCCCATTCCCCTGTACCTTGGAACCTGATCTGACACTGGCCTCCCATTTAAATTAATTCAAAGACAGTTTCCCATGATGCCAGCATTTGCGATGACTAGACAGAGTAGGAATATTTCTACTTGAACCTGTTTTCACACAAGGTCAGTTATATGTTGCTTTCTCTCGAGTTCAAAGAGCGTGTGATGTTAAAGTTAAAGTTGTAAATACTTCCTCACAAGGGAATTAGTCAAGCACTCTGAAAGTGTTTTCACTCTTAATGTGGTATACTGGGAGATATTATAATAAGTTTAATCACTTTATCAGTCATTGTTTGTATCAGTGTTGTTTTTACATCATGTTTTTGTTGTTTTTATATCATGTCTTTGTTGTTGTTATATCATGTTGTGATTGTTTATTTATTAATAAATGTACATATTATTTTCAAGTACATTTTACTAATTTTCTTTCATCTCTGACACTTCTATTATAGAGAAAGGGCAAATAGCAATATTAAAATATTTCCTCTAATTAATTCCCTTTTAATGTGCATGAATTTCGTGCACTGGGCCACTAGTCCTATATAATAAAAGCCTAATATGCAAATCGACTGGATGGCAGAATGACTGGTGGAATGACCGGTCACTATGACACACACTGACCACCAGGGGGAAGATGCTCAACGCAGGAGCTGCCCCCAGCCACAGGCCCCAGGCCAGCCAATTGCCCCATTGGTCACCTGCAGAGGAAGGCAACTGGTGGCAGTGGTGGGGGAGCGGGGCCAGCCGGCAAGAGGGTGGCAGTGGGCTGGTGCCACCCCCTGATTGCCCTGATCACGGGAGGTGACCAGTGCCAGCAGTGGGGCAATTGGGGGGTGGGGCCAGTGGGCAAGCAGGTGGCGCAGCCCCCTGACCGCCCTGCTGGTCACCTCCCACAGAGGGAGGCCACTGGTGGTGGGGTACAGGGACAGAGAGCAGGCGGCCCCAGGCAGGCCAAGGCAGGTGCCAGCGGGGGCCTCCTGATCACCCTGCCGGTCACCCCACAGATCGGCCCTGATCACCAGCCAGGTCTAGGGACCCTCCCCATTCATGAATTTCATGCACTAGGCCTCCAGTTTGTTTATAAAAACAGCAGTGCTATTTATCATGTGACCTGCAGTGAGTTAAATTTGCTGCTCTAATAGGGCCTATTGGAAACATTCTAAAAACTTAACTGGGGTAAGATATAGAAACTCCTTGAAATGTTAAAAAATGTCCAGGCTGCAATAGTGTCTGAATTATCTATCTATCACTGCTTAACAAAATACCCCAAAACTTAATGACTTCAATATATAAGCATAAATGAACTTTATTAACTCAGCAATTTAGGCTGGGCTCAGTGAGTCAGCAATTTAGGCTGGGCTCAGCTGGGCAGTTTTTCTGTCACTTTTGCCAAGTCACTTTAATGGGCTCAATTGAGGCAGGATGGTCTATGATGCCTCGTGGACATACCTGGAAGTGGGTACTGCCTGTCAGCTGGGCCGCATGTCTCTGAGCTGTATATTCAGGTTGCTTCACAGTGCCAGGGGCCAGAGCAAACACTGTAAGGCCTCTTGAGGTCTAGGTTCAAAATCACACCATTCAGCCACATTTTATGGGCCAAAGCAAATAACGAAGCCAGTTCTAGATTCAAGGAGTAGGAAGCAGAACCTACCTCTCCATGGGAGGAGAAAGTCACATTGCAAACGGGCATCTTTACAAACAACCTTCCATGGTATCTTTAATGCATTTTTTTTAGTCAACCTAGAGTGCTGGCTCCCAACAATGAAAACTGGCATTTAAAGAAAAGGTGCTGAACCTTAGTAACTTTGGAAAATAATATTTTGACAGGAAACTGTAAGAGTAAAGACAATAGGAAAGATACATAAACACTGTACTTATATGGATAAGTTACTTCCTGGGGGGGGGGGGTATAGGCTAAGGATTCCTACACTACTGTCTATGCATGCTGAGACTAAGTAAGTGAAGGCATAGGGTGCCAGGGAGCCAAGTTTTTTGCTGTTGGAGAAAGAAGGAGGCTCAGACAAACAAGGAGGGAGGGAGCACTAAAATTAACCTTGTGGTCCTGGATTAGATTTGGAGACATCAGTATGAAATAATGTTTGGTTTAATATAGATATAGATGGATAAATACACAAATATCTATATATGTGTGTATACATACATATATTTCCTAGCTGTGTCCACTGAGGGGCATAGAAGCAATGACACTCCGATACCAAGGGGCCACATCTTGCTTTCTATATCATTCTCCAATTAAGGAATAAGTGCTCTTTGGAGAAATGGTTGGTTGTAAAGCTGGGGCAGGAGGTAATATACAAAATGAATCTGGAGCATTTTGTAGTGCCAGAAAGCAAGGAAATGCTGAAAAAATAATGTGAGCATGTCAGGAGACAGGACCTAAGTGAAAGAGCTCCCAATGGCCAAAGCTGGAGCAATTCAAGCAATATATAACTGGGTTATAACATATAATATAAAATAACTATCCACAAGTTGGTACTGATATAAATGATTGAATAAATAAATGGTGGAGAAGAGACAAACCTCCTGAACAAAAGAATTCCTATATAGTTTATATAGGTATTCTTCCTCGGAAGGACGAAGATGAACTCCCCACCCCTTAAGTATGGGCTCTGCTTAGGGACCTGCACAGTGGACAGCCTGACAACCACCAATCAGATGGGTGATTACAGTTAACATCATCAGTGAGAAGTCATACGGGTAACAGGAATCCTTGATACAATGATGAGAGTGGCATTTCACTAGCTTCCTTCCAAAATTCCATAGCCCTAGTTTAACTATGAAAAAAAACATCAGAGAGTCCCATTCAAAATTGTGCAGGTCTTTAAAATGCAGAAAAATTTTGGAAGTTGTCATAGACTAGAGGGCTCAGGAGACAAGAGACTAAATGTGATATGCTATTCTGGAAGAGAAAGAGGACACCAGGGCAAAACTAGTGGAATCTAAATCAAGTTTGGAATCTAGTTAATAATGTACCAATGCTGGATCCTTGGTTGTGACAAATTTGCCTTGCAATAAAAGATGTTAGCAATAGGAGAAACTGGGTGAAAATTTATTGGGAACTCTCTGTATTATCTTTGCCACTTTTCTGTAACTCTAAAAGCTTCTTTAAAATGTCCAAAATATATAAAGAACTCATACAATTTAAGACCAGGAAGACAAACAATCCAATTATGGGCCAAGCACCTGAATAGACACTTCTCCAAAGAGGACATACAGATGGCCAATAGATATATGAAAAAATGCTCATGGTCACTAATCATCAGAGAAATGCAAATTAAAACAACAATGAGGTATCAGCTGATACTTGTTAGAATGGTTACTATGAAAAAATCAACAAACAAGTCCTGGTGAAGCTCTGGAGAAAAGGGAACCCTAGTACACTGCTGTTGGGAATGAGGACTGGTGCACCCACTGTGGAAAATATTATGGAGTTTCCTCAAACAATTAAAAATGGAACTGCCTTTTGACCCAGCAATCTCCCTCTAGAAATATAGCCTAAGAATCCCAAAACACCAATCAGAAAGAAAATATGCACCCCTATGTGCTGGAAATCTAAAGCAAATAGCAGTTAGCATAAAAATGCAAAAAGAAACATTGGAAGGCCAATGGACTTTGATATTCAGCAGGGCTGAAAATCAGCATAAAACTGCCCTGCTGTGGGCTCAATGGCTCAAGGAAATTTCCTGACCTGGTAATCTTTACATTGTTTACCAAATTTTACCTTTGATCTCACTGTATGCATTGCTAAAGGGCAAATGTGTATTCAAGTAAATAAAAAGTGGCCCAGGCCAGAAGTCAGTGTGCCTCATCAGGAAAGAGGTCTCTACCTGGCCCTCCAATGCCTTTTAAATTCATATTTCTTATATAGTATTTTCATTTGTGCATCGGCCCCTCCTTCAGATCCTGAACCTAGCCATGCAGGTTGCAGCACCTTTGTTCATAGTAGCATTATTTACAACACTCAAGATCTGAAAACAGCCCAAGTGCCCATCAGCAAATGAGGAGGATAAAAAGGCAGTGATACATCTACACACTGGAATTATATTCAGCTATAAAAAAGAAGGCACTTATATCAAATTGAAGAGCACAGCAAAAGAAATAGACAACAAAACAAACAGACAGCCAAACAGATGGAAGATGATATTTGGAAACAGTAGCTCTGACAAAGGTTTAATTTCCAAAATACATAAAGAACTCGTAAAACTCACCACCAAATAAACAATCCAATCAAAAAGTGGGCAGAGGACCTGAAAATACACCTCTCCCAAGAAGACATACAAACAGCCAATAGATATATGAAAAGACTAGTGGCCCAGTGCACGTATTCATGCACATTGAAAGGAAATTAATTAGAAGAAATATTTAAATATTGCTATTTGCCCTTTCTCTACAATAGAAATGTCAGAGATGAAAGAAAATTAGTAAAATGTACATGAAAAAATATATAAATTGATTAATAAATAAACAATAACAACAAATATCTTCCATGAAATTTTTACTGTCAGAATCCTCGTTTATCATTAATTTTTTTAAAATATGTCAGGTATTCTGGAAAATTTATATCATTTGGGCTGCAACATCAAGTAAATTTTCTATTAGATGGTTTTTCATCAGAGAAATTTAGTGATAGGCAAAATTGACATGTAACAGTCATTCCACCACAACTATTTTCAATAATTGCATCCTCATTTACTTTATTTTTGCTGTGAAGGCAGTTCTTACCAGTATTGGCAGTACTTGTTGATGACAGTTTTTCAGACATATTCTGTCAATGACGCCGCTTTATTTAGGCTGCAGAGGTACATTGTGTCAATAGTTGGTCTTCAGACATATTCTGTTGACAACGCCGACTTCTTTCAGCTGCAGAGATACAATTGGGGCCAGCCGGCTGGGGAGGAACCACAGGAGATTGGCTTGCCTAGAAGGGACTGCAGGAGGGCTTCAGGGCATGTCCAGCACTGTGTCACCCTGGCAGCCCCAGCTCGCACCCCCAGCCTTGCAACCCCGCAGCCCTGCCTGGCACCCTGCCTTGGCCTGGCATCGCCCGCTCACCTGCTCCACCATCCCACTGCAATCCAGCTCTTATCAGGGGCCATTGGGGCCGGCAGCACCTCCACTGCCACCTGCTGCCAGCTCCATGTCACTGATGCCTGCCATGTTCTGCACCAACCCCTGGTGGGCAGCGCACATCATAGCGAGCGATTGAACTCCCAGTCTCTTGGTTGAACTCCTGAGGGGACAATTTGCATATTAGCCTTTTATATATATATATGTTCAACCTCACTGGCAATTAGGGAAATGGAAATTAAAACTACAATGAGATACCACCTTACACCAGTTAGGGTGGCCATTATCAACAAGACAAGCAACAACATGTGTTGGACAGGTTGTGGAAAAAAGGGAACCCTCATTCACTGCTGGTGGGAATGTAGACTGGTACAACCACTATGCAAAACAGCCTGGCAATTCCTCAAAAAATTAAAAATAGAGCTACCATCTTACCCAACAACCCTACTCCTGGGTGTATACCTAAAAAACAAAATCATTTATATGCAAGGATATATGCACCCCTATGTTCATTGCAGCATTATTCACAGTGGCCAAGACATTTAAACAGTCAAAGTACCCTGCAATAGAGAACTGGAAAAAGAAGTTGTGGTAAATATACACAATGGAGTACTACATGGCCATAAGAAAGGATGAAATAGCATCATTTACAACAACATGGATGGGCCTTGAGATTATGCGAAGTGAAATAAGTCAGACAGAAAAAGCTAAGAACTATATGATTTCACTCATATGTGGAATATAGAACTGAAAGTTATGAACACAAACATCAGTGTGGTGGTTGCCAGAGGGAGGGGGTTGGGGGCAGAGGGTGTCCTAATATGAGGAAACAGGAGAAGATTTGAATTTGGGTGGTGGGTATATGGTGCTATATACAGATTTTGTAATTTAGCAATACACACATGAAACCTATATGTTCATGTTGACTAATGTCACCCCAATAAAATTTAATTTAAAAAAAAAGAAAGAACTTTTACCTTTTGCAACTGCATGGATGGACCTGGAGAGTATTATGCTAAATGAAATAAGCCAGTCAGAGAAAGACAAATACCATTTGACCTCACTAATATGTGGAATCTAATATATCTATCTATATATATATATATATATATATATATATATATATATATATATTTAAAAGGCTAATATGCAAACTGTCCCCTTGGGATTTCAAACAAGAGATCAAAGTTTGACCGGAAGTTCGACCACTTGCTATGACGTGTGCTGACCACCAGGGGGGTGGTGCTGAATGAAGGAAGGCCCAAGCTGACAGCTGGCAGCCGGCAGACAGGGAAAGGAGGCCCCAGCCACAGCCAGAAGGAAGGCCCTGACTGGCAGCCAGAAGGCCCTGATTGGCCCTGATAGCCAACCAAGCCTAGGGACCCTACCTGCCCATGAATTTTTGCACTGGGCCTCTAGTGAACAACATAAAATGGAACCGGGCCCTAGCTGGTTTGGCTCAATGGATAGAGTGTCAGCCCATGGACTGAAGGATATGGGTTCAATTTGGCCAAGGGCACATGTCTGGGATACAGGCTTGATCCCCGGCCCTGGTTGGGGTGAGTGCAGGAGGCAACCAATTGATGTGTCTCTCTGTCTTCTCCCCATCCCTTTCACTCTCTCTTAAAAAATCAGTAGAAATAAACAAACAAAACAAAACAAAAATATCAGTGGAAAAATATCCTTGGGGGAGGATTAACAACAACAAACAATGGAACCAGAAGCATGTATATACTAGAGGCCTGGTGTACAAAAATTTGTGCACTCGGGGGGTGGGGGGAGGGGGGTGCCCCAGCCCGGCCTGTGCCTTCTCGCAGTCTGGGACCCCTCGGGAGATAACGACCTGCTGGCTTAGGCCTGCTCCCGGGTGGCAGAGGGCAGGCCCAATCCCTAAGTGCAGCCCCTGGTCAGGCTCAGAGCAGGGCCGATTGGGGAGTTGGGGCACCACCCCGTCATGCACAGGGCAGGGCGGATTGGGAGGTTTCGATTCCACCCTCAGTCACGCTCAGGGTAGGGCCGATTGGGGGGTTGGGGCACTGCCCCCTGTCACACTCAAGGCAGGGTCGATGGGGAGGTTGCGGTGCCATCCCCTGTCACGCACAGAGCAGGGCCAATCAGGGGGTTGGGGCGCTGTCCCCTGTCACTCACAGAGCAGGACCCATCAGGGGGTTGGGGCGCTGCCCCCTGTCACTCACAGAGCAGGGCCCATCAGGGGGGTTGGGGCTCCGTACCCTGTTACACACAGAGCAGGGCCCATCAGGGGGTTGAGGAACTCCCCCCTGTCATTCACAGAGTAGGGCCGATAGGGGAGTTGGGGCACCGCCCCCTGTCACACACAGAGCAGGGCGGATGGGGGGTTGGGGCACTGCACCCTGTCACACACAGAGCAAGGCCCGTGGAGGGGAGTTGGGGCGCCATCCTCTATCACCCACAGAGCAGGGCCGATCAGGGGGATGGGGCGCCACCACTGTCACACTCAGGGCAGGGCCGATGGAGAGGTTATGGCTCTACCCTGTCACACACAGAGCAGGGCCCGTGGGGGTGGGGGGGGGGGTTGGGGAACCGCACCCTGTCACCCACAGAGCAGGGCCGATCAGGGGGTTGGTGCGCCGCACCCTGTCACACATAGAGCCACAGGGCGATCAGGGGATTGGGGAGCTCCCCCTTATCAGGCACAGAGCAGGACTGATCAGGGGGTTGGGGCGCCTTCCCCTGTCACACACAGAGCAGGCCCGATCAGGGGGTTGGGGCGCTACTCCTTTCATGCTGATCCTGATGCCGGGAGGCATATTACCCTTTTACTATATAGAATAGAGGCCTGGTGCATGGGTGGGGGCCAGCTGGTTTGCCCTGAAGGGTGTCCTGGATCAGGGTGGGGGTCCCCACTGGGGTGCCTGGCCAGTCTGGGTGAGGGGCTGAGGCTGTTTTCCGGGTGGTGAGTGACTGAAGCTCCCAACCGCTCCTTGTTTTCTTCTCTTTTTTTTTTAATTCTGGGCCAGCTTTAGCTCTGAGGCCTCACTGCTGAAAACATCGATACAATGTTTCGGTCCGGCTGGGTTTCAGTCCGGCTGGTTTCTGGGGTTTTGTTTATCTTCTTATTTGCAACATAGTACATAGTTGCTTAGACTTGCAGCTGAGAGGCCGGCAAGTGAGGTGGGGAACGTTGGAGTCTGCAGCAAGCAAGCCTCATGTTCACTTCAGTGCATGGCTGCCGGCCGCCATCTTGGCTGACAGTTAATTTGCATATACTCACTGATTAGCCAATGAAAAGGGTAGCGGTCGTACACTAATTACCATGTTTCTCTTTTATTAGTGTAGATGAGACAGACTGGCTGGTACCTGAGGGGAGTGTGGTGGGGGTGACTGGATAAAGATGAAGTGGTTAGCTAAAGAACATACAGTGTGCCCCCCCAAAAAATGTATATACACTTTAACAGCTGATAGCTCAATTTTGAAAATGAAATGTATTTTAATAAACACTGCCATTATAGCTATTCAAAGTGTGTGTATACATTTTGGGGGAACATCCTAAATATGCGTACCTCATGGACATGGGCAGTAGTTTGGTAAAGGCCAAGGGAGAGGAAAATGGGGGTGAGAAAAGGTGGGCAAAGGTGGGCAAAAGGGGGATACCTGCAATGGTGTCAACATTAAAAAATGTTTAATTTTTAAAAATACCTGGCAAGCAACTCTTACAGAATTCTTCTAGTCCCCTCTCTCTGGTTTAAATCTTATTTCCATCTGTTTTCCCAACTTTCCATTCTACAACTTTGGAGTTTCTTAATCTGCCTAGCCCTTTGGATTTAAACTATAACAGATCTGAGACCGTCTGTAGTGTCAGTTGCAAGCCCAAGGGCAAAAGACCCCATGATATGGCTCTTTAATGACCCATTGATCTTCAAGTGAATTATATAAATATATTTATATGCACATATACCCACATATTTAAATGCATATATACATATATACATACACATACATTTGAAATGCACAAACACACAGATATATATGCATATAAACATGTATATAATCATATTGCAGAGATGCAAAATGAAAATAAATATGCCAAAAGTACACATCCTCTGCATAATCTATTATGATTTTCTGAAAGAAGAACAGTGTTACACACTGTTCAGAAACCTACTTTCTTTGCGAAATTTTATATAATAAAGAGGTAATATGCAAATTAACCCTCACACCCTCACATGATGGCTGCCTATGACCAGGCCAGCAGGAGGGTTAGTGAGGGACAACCAAATGACTGAACAGCAGGCTGCATGGGGCGACCAGGCAGCAGGGGGGGCAGTTGGGGGCTACCAGGCCGGTAGGGGGGGGGCAGTTAGGGGCGACCAGGCAGGCAGGCAGTTGAGCGAGTAGGAGCCAGCGGTCCAGGATTGTGAGAGGGATGTCCGACTGCCAGTTTAGGCCTGATCCCTGGGAATTTCATGCACTGGGCCTCTTGTGTATTTATAAAGCTTAATCTTCAAAGCCCCACATATGCATAGACTCCCTTCAAAGTATATTTTCTTTTATTAAAGACAGTCTCTAAATTGTGTAAACTTCAGGCCCCACAAAACCTGGATTCACCTGCTTCCACGTGAGTTAATAGATATTTGTATTAGCATTTTAAGTGCCAGAAGATATTACAGCATTTCACTGCGTAAATGCACCATCATTACTTAAGTTGATGCCTTAAAGAGATGTTGAGGTTTTCTAATTCTTTGGAGTATCACCCCGTATTTGAGTGTGGGTGTTGAGTTAGCATTCCCCTAAAATGCTTTCTCTGAGCCCTGGAAACTGAGGCTCAATCCAGGCTCCTAGCTAGTACTCTCTTTGTTGCCTCTGGCCTCTCATGGACTTGAAGGGAGAACTGGGAGTAAATCTGAGACAACAGAAAATCAGGGCAGGTCTCGAGGAGGAAATGAGCAAGAGGAAGCTGTGTTTTGTAGAATGTTATTATTATAATCATTTTACCCCAAAATTGGTGTGGCATAGTGCTCCGTGCAAATGTAACTCTCAGAGTAACTGGAAAAGAGAACCTGTAACAGATCTGAGATCCCTCTGTAGTGGCAATTGAAAGCCC